TGTGTATATATATATATATATATATATACACATGTTTGTTTATATCGAGAGGTATATTGTACATTTATACCATAGTTTGAAAAAGAGAACAAAAGCTGCTCGCAGTAGTAACATGCTGAGGTTCCTTGATCAGTAAATATCCTCAAATTACTAACCTGGGTTCCCTATGGCTGATGGGCTACAGAAATGTATCGTTTAGTAGAAACCAAACGTTGCATTGGTGGCATTCAAGGATTTTTATAAAGGCTGCAGAGAACAGTTTGTCTGCTTTTCTTCCCACTATGTTTATGTGCTGTGGTCCATTTCAGGTGCCAGTCCTTTCAAACTGCTGCACGTTATTTTATAAATTTGATTTTTTTTTTTTTGTCCTTATTTTTTGCTGAAGATTTTTTTCTTTGAAAATGTTGATGAGATAAGGGAAAAGTTTAAAGAACAAGCCCAGAAATCGTTTCTTAATTGGTTGCAAAGTGCAGCATGGTTGAGAGATCTCCCACCTGAGATTAAATCCAGGATTCAGGACCACACAGCTGGACAGAAACAATACCAAAAAAAAATAGATTAACTGAAAACTCCAGAATTGTATAATTTTGAATCCATCCTCCTGTGATGTTTTTCAAGGTCAATTTAGTAAATCCAGCCAACTGTGTGCTCCTGCATCCTATTTTCACTATCTAACTTGTCTCTCCACTTCCTCAGCTGCCTCCTTGTGTCCTGTGATTTCCTCAGCCAATAAGGAGTGCGCTCACTTGTGTCCTTCTGTTCTTCTCTCTCATCACTCTCCGCATCTTATTGCCCACAGTCACTCACAGTGTTTTTACCTCCATGTTGTTGCCTGTTGTCTGTCACGGTTGTTGTCTGTAGTTGCAAGTTGTCCGAGCCGACATTTCCGCGGTGGAGAGCGACGCTGTCGTTCACCCGACCAACTCCTCCTTCTATACAGGTGGTGAAGTAGGTAAAGGAAGCACTGACTCTGCAGAGACCACGGCTGTCTGTCTGCTCTCCCTCTGCATATCCAGTCAGTCAGTGCTGCAGTCTGTGGACAAACGGCAGCAGCAGTTGTTACCTTTCATTATTGTTGGCCTTTTTTTGTTTTAATCTATGCTTCCATTGTTAGCCTAAACCAGATGTTTACCTTTTTTTATTTATTTATAAAAACATTTTTTGCAGTCCAATTATCAGAGCAAAAGTCAATGTTCTAAATTTTAAGATGATCTCAGTACAAAGAGACCATTTATAAAGACAAAAAGCTATATTTGTTTCTCTTTATTTACAGAGATTAGTCAGCAAAGCACTTGGGTCACTCTGAAATGTGCTCCCATTTTACAACTAAAATCAAAGAAAAAAGCTGTATAAAGTAGGGCTGGGCATTTAATTGCATTTGCAATATAATAGCAATTTAGAAAAATGCTATTTTCAGATCACAGAAGGACTCAGTTTTGGTCACATATTTAACTGGAGTAAGACATTAAAATTTTCAATCCAGCGCTTTAAAGTGGCGGTATGACACTTAAAGTGGGCTTGCCACCACACAGAATAGAAGAGAGTTGCTGCTAGCATGCAGATCCATGCAATATAGTAGAAGTATGAACTTTTTCATCCAAAGGTTACATTAAAGTCCTGCAACAATGAAAGCTTTTCAGGTTGTGAAAAAAACTGAAACTCTGGAGCAGAAAACTACATGCTTGAGCTTAGAAAGGAAATTCGCATTAATATTGCAATATTGGTAGAAAATAATCGCAACTTCGATTTTTGACAAAATTGTTCCGTCCTAATATAACAGGGTTTCCGCGGGTCATTAAAAATCATTACGTCATTAAATTATTATTTTTTAAATTAAGGCCTTAATTGGCATTCATTAAATGCCATTAAATGTGTTTATTGTGGCATTTAAAATGCTTTATTAAAAAAAATTATAAAAACAATTTCATGAGACATATTATATCACAATATATTTGCGTAGAACTGCTTCCGGTTGATCGCAAAGCTGTAAGTTCAGAAAAGAAGCTTGAGTCGGAGAAAAATTAGAGAATGGGGGGAAAAAACAAATTTTAACAAAAGTGGCTTGAAAATGAGGAATTTGTGACATGGCTGCAGCCTATCGACAGGTACCTGCTGGTGGCATTAAAATTATTTCTAAGAGCATTAAAAAGCATTAAATTTGAGTTATTCATTCTTCTATAAACCCTTTATAAAGAAAATAATAAAAAAAGTTGAGATGTTTAGATAAATTTGGAAATGTTCTAATCTGTTATTGGAAACCATTGTGAGACCAGCCAAAACCCTAATATCAGAATATATCGACCTGCTTCTGAAATCTGATAGAAAACACTGCTTAACTCATTGGTTGATATTGAATGGGTCGGTTGTTCTCATAACCTATGTTGGTGATTATTGCTCTCTCTTTGACAAATATATCTTGATCCAGTCTCTTCTACCATCCAGACTACATGAGAAGTTATGAAAGAATAAGTGATTCAGGCTGATATTGTATTAGGTTGACATTGGTCAGGAATGAAATGAAAACTATTTTTCCATCTAAACAACCCTAATATTCCTTTGGATTGTCTTGCTTAGATCCTAAATCTCACTTTTAAGTTTTACACTTAAATACTTAACTCTAGTTGATATGTGTCTTTTTTATATGTGAAAACAATCCTAACATAGCCTTCCTGCTGGATAAAAAGGTTTAATCAACTAAATCTTAAGCATGCATATAACCTTTAATGCAGAACAGTACTACATCTACAGCTGCACGATATTGCCTAAGCTTAAGCTACAATGTATTTCTATATTCTGGTTGATGGAAAGTTATTCAAATATTGACACATATACAATATGAGATTCTTAGAAAAAACTGCCAAGAAAGCCCATCTCAGATTCCTGTAAAAACTTCTAGAAATGTTATAAAGAAATTCTAAACACATAGTTCTATGTTCAGAGCTACAAGCTGAACAGATGAAACGCACATTTAATCATTTATTTCTCCCTTTTCTTAGTTCTCATCTCCGTTCTTTTGTATTTAACAGTTTTTCTCTCACTGAACATTTGGCAAATCCAAGAACACAAATAAATTTATGCCTAAAAACTATTTTCACAAAGCACTAATAAAATAGCAAAATTCAACATATTATTTTGGATGAACCTTTTTGATACTATAGGCAGTCCTGCTATCCTGTTAGGATTTCTCCCTTTCTCTCACACTCATGCCACTCCTGCCTCTGTGCTATATTCCTGCCGTTTGTTGTTTTATTTCCTTATAAAAGTTTGGTTTATTTTGAACCTTTGATCTTTAGTTAAACAAAACTGTTTTACTAAAGATCTGTTCGGGTTGATTCGGCTGAACCCTGAATGTCAGTCTGAAACAAATGTAATGGGTGTCAGCATATCAAAAATGTGATTGAAAGTCACACAATTATTATTAAATACAATTATATTGAAATATATATTGATACTATAGGATTGCCCAGCCCTAATCAATGGAAGTATATTGAATAATATGAACATTTATTTAGGATTTATTTCTTACAATTTTACCTTTAGCTCTGTTTCTAGTTACTCTTCAGGAAAGCCATAGTTACAGGATTATAAGATCCTGACTGCTAGAGGAAATTTTTAAATGGTGTGTCTGATATTTATGCTGATCCTATCCTGGATGACTCAGGATTTCTGCTTTGCTAAGAAGACCTTTGCCCAAACTGCAGGGCTCAATCTTTTTAAAACAGGAGTTCCTTATAATAACTAGCCAGAGGTAGATCTTTGCATCAGATAACACATTTAAAGGTTATATTTTGCTGGTGTGACCATGCTAATTATACTGCTGCTGCTCGTTTAGCTCTGCATGACTGAAACATTGACTCTCTGAGAGCTGTCTCTCATGTGACCTTTGAACTCTCTAACCAACCTGTCAGTTCAGATGGTTTGTAAGCAGATGCACAGAGTGTCACAAAGTTTTATTATTTCTGTGGTCACAAAGGCACAAAGATTCAACTGATAAGGTTTAATGACTGTACTTCATATGCTGGTTTCAATTTTAGGGAGTTTTTTTTTTTTTCTCAAATAAGAATGAAAGTTTTTAAATAAGGCAAAAATATTCACACCATTAAACTTTTTCATATCCTAAACACAAATCATATTTTATGTCATTGGGACTTTTTCTGATATGTCAAAGGTAGTGCACTGATGCAAAGTGGGAGCAAAGCAAGGCATGGTTTAAGTATTTGATCAAGATCTGAAAAGTGTGGCTTCAGTTTGTCTTCAGTCCTCCTCCATTGGTCGTTTGACCGTTTGTTAAAGTTAAATCTCCAACTGTTTCTGGTTTTTCTCTGGACATCAAGAAACCAAAATATTTGTCCATTCCTCTTTGCTAAATAGCTTGAGCTCAGTCAGACTGGACTGAGACTGGAGAATGTTTTTAACCACAGATTCAGAGTGGACTAAGGTTTGGGCTTTGACCGGAGCGTTACACCTCTGGCTTTATGCATTCTCCTGCTCAAAGGTGTTGTTTTTTTTCACCACCATTGTCCTACTTTATCTCATTCATCTCTCCTTAAGCTCTGACCAGCTTGCCTATCTCTGCACTGTACAGATGGTGTGTTCGGGTTGATGAGTAAAAACGGCTTGATCTCGTCTAACCAGAGTAGCTCCTTCCCTCTTGGCTTATGGCAAAATGTTAACTGGACTTAGTTGGGTTTTCTTTTTGCTGTCCTTAATAAGACCAGATTATTAGAAATGAGGAATTAAGTGGTTTCCAGTTAACAGGTTCACTTTGCTGAGCTCTGCATCCCTGCAGCTCCTCTGGAGTTACTTTGAGTCCACCTAGGCTTGTTCAGTCATAGGTGGACGGTCGTCTCTTGGTAGGTCAACAGTTGTGACACATTTTTTTCATTCTCTGATGACTGCTTGAAAAGAGCTCTGTGAAATGTTAAGCTTTGGATGTTGTTTTAAAACATATTCCTAATCCCACAAGACAGGTAACCTTTCTTCATCCGTTTGCTGCATTTCTTGATCTTTATGGTGCAGTTTGTTCACTAATGTTCTCTAACAGCCCTCTTAGGTCTGTACAGAAATTAGATCTGATCAAGTTAACTGTTATGAAGTAGATGACTCCTTAAGGCAAGTGTATCGGAATAGAGGGGACTAAAAATAAGGCAAATCACTCTTTTCAGATCATGTTTTTGGGGACTTTTGTAGTGCTCTCTCACATAAAATCCCCCAAAATCAGTCAGCTTTTGCTTTGAGATGCTTCCAATCTTTTTGGTTTCTGTATACGGCTCCTCTCTTAAGCTCTGAGTAAAAACCTAAGGCGACTGAGTCTCTGGAATTTGCATTTATTGATTTGAATGGATGAAAAACATTTCTTCCCCCACAATTGACTTAAATTTGCTAGTATTTTTAACTAGAATCTTTGCTCCTTATTTGTGCCACCTGTTCTAATCCTGAAATGAAGCACTCAGAGATTCTGAGAGGCACTTCTAGAGGATTGACACGCCTGTGTTTCTGCCAGTCTGTCCATCCACCCTCACGTCTTCCTGCTTGCCTGTCTGTCTGCATGACCTCCAGCCCTCCGTCGCACTTTCTGTTGTCTGTCTGCAGCTCAGCAGTATCTGTTCACTGCTGTCCTCTTCTGTATCCGCTTGCAGGCTCTGCCCTGGAGAAGAAAGGAGGGAAGGAGTTCACGGAGGCACTCCAGGAGCTGAAGAAGAAAAATGGCCCCCTGGAGGTGGCTGGTGGTAAGTGCACAGACATAAACGACAAAGGGGGATTTTATTGTTCTGAAAAGCAGAGTTGTTTTATTGTCCACATGCTTAGTTGTTTTTAAATAAAGTTGTTAAGTTCCAGGTGGAAATAAGGTGAAAGGTTAAAAGAAGGTGGATTTTAACTCAGATTTAACTCGGCTGAATTTGGGACTCTGCTGGGTGAAATGTTTACAGTGCTGCCATAGAAACCTTTACAGTGTTGATAGATTACTTCTGTCGTTTTGTGCCAGTCTTTCATATTTTCCGCTTGTTACTGCAGCATTATTCAGAGTCTTTCAAACAGTTTTCACCAGTTCAGCCCAGAATCCCTGCCCTGTCGTTTTTTAGATTTAGACAATAAACTTAGCTGAGCCTTTTCAGGGGGACAACTAAATAATAATTTTCAATTATTACTTAATTTTGTCTGGATACTCTGAATTTTTGTCCTAAAATTTATCAATTAGTTTTTTTTTTCTTTATTGCCTCCTTGATTTCTTTATTATTACAAAAAAAAAAGAATATTTTAATTGAAATAAACTTCTCTGTTTAAGTATTTACAAGGCACATAAAGCACCGGAGCCCGTTTGGCAGTCGTGGTGTGTGCCGACCATTCTGAGGCTGATCCTATAAAGCTTTGGTTTTGCAGTTAATGCTCAGCTTGGTTAGATGGGAAGTTTCATTGTAAGGACAGATTTATGGTTCTTCAGGGATGCTCAGTGTAGAGCCAAACACTAGCTCAGTTACACCAGGACTTTTACTAGTTGTTTTACATCTAAGCTACATTTGTGTCGTCCTTCCTGTTCTTACCTCGCCAAAATAAGACAGCCAGAGTACTCTGAAAATATTATGGTTTTTATGAAACCTCATTTTCCTGATGGCTGTAACAGTCTTTGTTCTCCCTGTCCTGAAGCGACATATTGACTAAAAGTTCAAGTCTACCATGTGATTGTAGGACTATGCTTGCTGTTAAAGGTTTTAGTGGATCCCTAAATGAGGATTGGCTTTTTTGACCTTTATAATAACTGATTGATGGATTACTCCCTTCATCCCTTCATTGTTATACTTTTAGGTTATGATGTTTAGGTTTTAATCCTACAAAAACCTAATTAGAGTCCAAAAATAAACAGGTTGTAAAAGTCATTTGGAGATGTCTTACTATTACTACTATACAATAATGTCTTACTACTATAGAACAATTTAACAAACATTCAGAAAGTTTATAGTGGAGATCCATGCCAAATGTTTTAACTAGGCCATTCTAAAGTATAAGATATGAAAAGAACTGAAAGTATTTTAGATTGACATTTAAGACTGTCAGTTTTCAAATAAAGCTTCACAATATATTGTTAATATATTGTCACCTTCTTCCTAATTTGTTTTTTCCATCTTATTTCTAAGTGAAGCTATATATACTTGTTTTAACTCAACTTTTTTCTTAGCAGTTTGTGAACAGTAATGTTTTCTTCATGTAGACTAGGCCTCAGATTATCTGTGCTGAAATTACTTTACAAAGATTTGGGCTCTATTCCTGTATCAGAACGACATCTCACCATTAATACATCAAACTGGATCTGGAACAGAAATAA